GTGCTTCGTGTACGATAACTTCTATTTTTATTTTTCTGTTTTACCATTGATTTTAGGGTTATTAATATATCTTGAATGGCGTTTGTATTATATTAAGAAAGTTTTAATTCATAGTGGGGCTGGTGTATGATGGTGCTTTTTTATTTATTTTTATTTTTTATTATTGCATTATGTAAGTGCTGGTGAAGATGTTCGTACGTCGTGCTATAGGGGTTTTAGGAGGTGAGGGAAATGTTTTAGTTTGCACAAAAGGGTAGGGGGTAGTTTAATAGGCATATTTAGAGAGAAACACTCCGGTGCCCCCCCCCCCCCCAGACTCCCCATAGTATGCGTGCAAAGATTCAGGGGCCGGATACTCCAAAACACCTCATAAGTTACGTATATTAGCGAGATACAGTGCCATATATTGCAGACTCCTTAAAGTCCCATAAATTTAGCATACCCAAAATTTAATTACAGCTCCGTAAGCAGTCCGTAAGTTATCATAACTCTAGTGTTTACCCTGTAAATTCAGTTCTCTTGTCGGAAGGTAGATGACAGTGCAGGAGCTAGTTGGCCAATCAGCGCTCAGTTAACAAAATCACCAACCAATCACAAGAGAAGGAGAAGTCAGCTGAGAGCAACGCACGTGATATTAGTTTGTAAACAAAAGATGGAAGGACTAACCACCTGAAGAAACGACCAAATTTCAGTGAGACTGAAGTATGCGTCATGGTGTGTGAAGTCGCCAAAAGAAAGAAAATAATATTATGGAAATTGGTCTCTAGGTTTTTATGGTCCAAGCTACGGCACTCACTGGCTAACACACACACACACACACACACACACACACATGCTCTTCTATTATTATGCTTTACAGATGGTAAAAGGTAACACTATAGCCATTCACCAAGGTTAGCTTTATGACACATAGTAACCCAGCAGCAGACATGACTCACCAGTACTTGGGAACTATGTTAAAGGTGATATATTATTCACTGTTATATTTAGCAAAAGAGATTAACTGTTCTTTTGTAATTTCTCTCAGTGAAAGTGACGTGTCATCCCACTTGCTGCCACAAATAAATTTACGTAAAAACCTGATTACATTGACCTTTCATCGCTTACTCATTAAATATAGATCAAGATAAGATTGAAATATATCTGATAGTTTGTTTGTCCACAGTGATAGTGTTTAACACTAGCGATGGACTGATAGTGTATCGACGTGGGAAGATTGTGTGTATACATGAATGTTCACTGGTATATTTGGTCACTGGGATATAATTGCAGGGTGACGGTCAATTTTCTCAGTCAAGGTGACTTGTGTAACAGACGTGACTCCAACTCAGGTCTGGTAGCACGACATGGCTAAGTCTCCATTATGGGACATGTTTAATCCTAGTACAGCATCCTTTGTCCTAGCTGCACATAGCACAACCTCGTTCATCCTAGCACAATGTTATTCGTTCTAATACATCTAGCATCTTAGAAAACTTTCCTTCAACTTAGCATTCGTCATAGCATTACATTTGTTCTTCTAAGTTAACATATCATATATTTTATATTCTACCACAGCAGGGGCGGATCCAGGGGGAGTCCTGGGGTTTGCAACCCCCTTTTCATCAGAAAATTCCGATACTTTTCCTTAATGCTGTATATTGTACTCATGCGTTTTTGTAATAGTACAAAGTAATTACTACTGACCTCAGAATATCTCTTAATATCAAGTGCACATGGGTTCAAAATTGCCTCAAAATTTTAACAAAATTCCTGGATCCGCCCCTGCACCGCGTTCTTCTTCTTAACATTATTTATCCTAGATCCTAGCAAAACATCCTCCATCTTAGCACATCACCATTCATCCTGGCATAATATTCTTTTTTATCTTTGCAAAATATCATACACCCTTGCACAAGGTTTTCACCAAAGCACAAAATCTTTCATCCTAACACGGGATCATTTATCTTAGCACATCATCCTTCTTCCTAGCATATCTATCATCCCATTACATATACCTTATCCTAGCAGAATATCATTCATTCTAGCAGAACATTCCTCATCCTAGCACTACATCAATCATCCCAGCAGTACAACCTCCATCAGAAAACTACTATACCTTTCATTATCCCCATCATCCTGCTAAAACATACACACTCAGAATGACGAACACATTTCACCATCAAGTTAAATGTAATGATTCGTCAGAGGTAAAACAACAATAGACTGAATTTGTTAATACGGGTTATCTTTGTGTTATCTATGCAGGGTGGCAGCTTGAAGCCCCATGACAACGACCCGTGATTGCGGTGGGATATGATCTGCTCGTATTAATGCATATAGGTGTATAGTAGTTCTGTATATATTAATTAGTTATAGAAAAATTACAAAAAATACTGAACATGTGTCTATGTACTTAGATTAGTGCATCATACAGAGTGTTTTGGATATACGTTTCATAATTCTGGAGGTGTATTCCTGAGACATACAGAAGGGATAATTTTCTGATCAGGGGTAAACTTATGCAGTATATTCTCTCATTGAATTATAGCAATTGTGTCTGGTAGATGTCTGTTAATCGCATGTTGGTATGTCATGAACTTAAAGAAGCACTTAGTTCGGCAGATAAATGGGGAAATTCCTCTTGACCCTAAAATGTAAGTAATATTTTTTTGTATTATTATTTTTATTCATAGTCTCTAGTGTCTCTAATTATTTCCAGGTGGGTGTGGAGCTCTCTCCCTTGGGCAACTTGAGATAGTGATGATTATTTACAGGTAACCTTAATATATTAGATCACAAATATCTCAATCATACTGACTCATGAAATACGGATATTTAATCATCTTGTTGGTATGGAATGATGAAATAACAATGAATTCCACTCATATATCATCACGTGTATTGTCTCATAACAGTGGCACTTTGAGCAAATTTGCTGACTCTGCATTTTACTAAAAAACAACATAATCTCGGAATGTTTTTACCAGAATAATCATTAATATTATGAGTCACTGATATCTGAAGAGCAAATAGTGTTGCATTCATAATAAAAATCCAGCCATACATTATTCAGTCATCATCATTATTACCATCATCAATATTATTACCATCATTATCATCTGTGTCATCCATAATCTGAGCCTGAAGACCTCTCTTGTCTTCTGGTTGAAACATCACTTGCCACCAGAGCATGCACAAAACGCTGTACATGGCAGCATTGCACTGTTGCAGCCACATCTTTTAGATTTGCAGCGAACATCATTGTCAAGTGAACATTTGATGAGCTTCAGCAATTCATCAGGAACTAATGTGACTTCGTTTGTTACATTCACAGGAATCAGTGATTGTCGTTCCCTCTACCATCCATACTTCACAGGATCCATTGGTGGGGGATGAGAATATTCAACGTGATTCCACACTGCCACCTGTAAGTGCTTGCACCTTGGGAGACCCTCCTATGCTTCGAATTACCTTTGCTGACCAAACCTTTTGACGAGCTTCAACCATAGTCTTGCATTCTGGATGGCTATAACAGGACAGAAAAAACTCTGTGCCCTGTTCCATGACATCAGGAACAGGACAGCTGACATCACCCACCTTGTCCAGATCCAACGCCTTAGTTTTGAGGACCTTCAGAGACACACCTTTTCCAGGGGCTGACAGAATAAGGATTTCGCTGCTGAAATTATCTGATACAGCATTAAATAATTGTGATCGGGACAGTATTGATCCGCCATGATCTCAATACTCTTTGTAGAGATCAATGGAGTTCCAGAACCTCGTTTTATCATGAGACAGAACTTCTACGGCATATTAGAAGGCCTGGTGTTCACTCTGTTGACCCGAAGTTTATGGGCCATATTCTGGCCTTTTCTGGCCTGGCAGTGACTTGTTCCCAAAGAAAGTAGCCATGCAATATTTGTGATAGTGTGCCTCAGCTGCATGCAAATCACTTATGGCGCCCTCAATGCGAATGTGAACATCCTGCGCCCACCATTAAATGGCACTACCATTTGGTTTGTGGAGAGCTGTACCTGAAACTACATGTGCGAATGGCATCCATTTTTAAATTAGCCTATAAAAACATTGCTCAAAGGTTAGAACACTTGGACTCACTTACTGAGACCCTATAGAGTAACAATCAAGGGGAAAAAACTATTACCAGCACCAAGGGGTTGACATATATTTCTGCTGGACTAACTGGTATGCTTCACAACATTCTGTATTTGGAAACAATAATTTCTTTAATGCCATAAGACACTTGACATTAAGAACTGTATAATCTGTTATAAGATACTTAACAGGCGAAATGTGAATGATGATTACTGATACTCATATTCGCGCCATTAGTACCGAGATTTTTTGGTACGATATATGAGTAATTATTGTTTAATTATTATTATTACAATTATTATTGCTATTAAACATGATTACTATATTTTATGCATTCCTTATCTTTACATTCATCCTTATTATAGTTAGTAGTCATAAGATCATTGCTGACTGCGTGATCATTTTATTTTTTTTATAATTTCGTTGGTTGTCTTCTTAACTTTGTTTTGTCATACAGGAATGCATCTTATTACAGTAATCAATAATACCAACACCAAGAGAATTGCACAGGAAAGTGCCCCGTGCAATCTTCTGATGATTTTAAGGTAATGTTTGAGAAGTTGTTTTGTTAAGTCCGTATAAAGTAGTGTTTTAGTCGAGTTCATTATTGAGTTATTAATGTATGCGAGAAGCTTTAAAACGAATATTGTTAGTTCAGTAATATAAATGTGTAATGTTTCACTATCGTAGGAGAGATAACCAGAATAATGAAACAATTCACCGCAGCCAATGTAGCTATCAAGCATAGAGGGTCACCACCACCAGCTTAGATAAAGGCGAGTCCTCGGTGGTCGAGGCTGGAATATAACTCTTATTGATATTCATCTCTTACTCTGAAAAAATTACTGTGAATCGGAATATCCCATCATCACCTATGAGTAATGCTTTTATAGTCCTAAGTCATCCTGACATAATAGTCAAAAGGACAGTTTGCTGCTGTAGGTAACCAGTGTCGACCTGGAGGCAGTGCTGGCAGGGGGTAACACTCTTCAGCGCCTCACCAACCAACAGGTAAGTGGAAGGTGTTTAAGACTGTTTATATTGGATGTTACTGGATGTTTTAGACTTTGTTTCACCTGTGTATATAGTATAATATTTATTTACTGTGTCAACCAATGAAATTAAATCGAATATGGAATAGGAATTCTTAGTTTTAATGGAAGATGGTACGTGTAAAGTCTTAGGCCAAGAGGTGGTCGTGGTGGTGGTGGTGGTGGTCAATGTGTTCTTTCTCAGAGTTCCTCAAGTTAACTCTACGCGCTCTGTCCTAACAACTGAGGTTTTCACTTATTGATTTTTGTTGAACATGACTTTTGATAATCGAATATTTGCTGGGTATTCTTGATTATATTTAGTTTCAACAAAGGAGAAATTCTGCCATCATTGTATTTCACTGTTATAGACAAAACCTGTACACAGTGGTAGGCAACCTGCAGCCAACGGGATTTGTATTGATCGTTGTCCTTGATTTCATAAATAACATATAAAATTGAATGCAATTGGCGCGGAAAACAGTAGTTGCCTATATAAAATTATAACTTTTTCATTATTAAGCTTTTCCACATTATGAATTACCTTCATTGCTACTCATACTATGCATATAATTTACTCTTTTTTTTTACATAATTAGACTAAGATTTAACTTATCCAACAGATTTATAAAAATATTCTTTAAATATGGTGAGTCACGCGACCAAGTTCCCGCAGCTTCATTGTGCTACAGGTTATCTTGTTCTATTTGCGATAAAATATTAAATATTTTACGTTTGCATTTGGGTTTTGGTCAGATTTTCAAATAAGCGGCCCACTGAGATGAGGGAGGATCACATATATGGCCCACTAACTAACTAAGGCTGTCCATCACTGAATTCTACAGCCCTCTCATCTAAACTATTTTAGATAGTTAAGACTTTTAAAATCTAATAGTTTCATCGAGGATTTTTATTCCTTCCCGTGTTGAGTTGTAATTCTTATATATTTGATTTTTTTTTTAATTATGAGAAAAGTGGGTCTCAAGGGCTCTTTATGGGTGGTGTGGATACATCACGCAGGTGTAGCAGTTAAAAATGAAATCTAGGTAAAAATGAAGTGTTTGCCCAACATATCGTACAGCACTCCCGGCAGAACGCTCTGAGATTCCGTGGTGAGCAGAGCTGGTGAGTGGCGACTGATAGTAGCATTATACTGTATTCGACTTCCATGCGTTTGGATGTATAATAATTCAATTAATTAATTGAGTTGATGGAAGTGAAAATGCAGTCAAGCCAGAAATATTATATTATATAGATAATAAAGGGAAATAAATACCAGTCCAGTGCATAAGTGCATAAGATAATAAACTCTAATAATACAATTGATTAATTTAGTTTTTAAAATTTAATTTACTGGTAAACATAATAGTCCATCAGTTTTTTTTTTTTTTTTAAAGTTAAGTAGTAAATTCGATGGAGTGCAGAATGAACCTGGTAGAGGTGTGGTTATATTAGTGAGGAATTCTCTTATAGACAATGTAAATTTCTTGAATGATCATTTGTATGATAAAGCGGTATGGTGCGACATCATTATGAAAATGAAAAATATACTACTTGGTGCTGTGTATAGGGCTCTTATTACAAGTCGTGAGAAGAATCTTTTATTGAATTACCTAACCAAGTTGTTTCCTTTCCTCGTGGATGTAATGTTAAATCTCCTTGTTTTGCTCTTAGTCTATATGTCTTCTCGTGGATGTTTGAACAATCCAAACGTATTGTGCTACATGTGTGGGTGCTTTGTTGTGTTTAAGTAGCGACAAGAAATAATTGCATCCGTAAAAAATACATATTTTACCTACTTTGGAGTGAAAATATGTGATTTAGATAAACCATGGGCGCCACAAAGTGTGTCGCACTTGTGTTGAAGGTTTAAGACTGTGGAAATATGGTAAGAAAAAAGTCATGCCATTTGGAGTCCATATGGTATGGCGGGAGCCTAAAAATCATGGTGAAAACTGTTTTTTTGCACTGTGAAGATAGAGGGATATAGTGCAAAAAAAATAAACAAGCACTCCATTATTCCAAAATTCCATCTGCCATGAGACCAGTGCCACATGGTCCTGAGGTTCCAGTCCCCATTCCGCCAGATGTATTGCAGTCCGTGTCATCAGCATCTGACCGTGATTCATCGTCAGAAAACGGAAGTGATGTTTATCAACCTGAAGATATTAGTGATGTACCGGTGGTGTTTACCCAGAGTGAACTTGACGATCTGGTTATGGATTTGAATTTAACAAAGGAGTTTGCTGAACTTTTAGGAACTAAGTTGAAATGAAAGAAGTTATTGAACAAAGGGACATATGTTTCATGGTATAGGCAACGTGAACAAGAACTAGTCCAATTTTTTTTCAGAGGAAGGCTCCTTGGTTTATTGTAATAATGTGTCTGCTTTAATTAACTATTTTGGCATTACCTATACAGCTACTGAATGGAGGTTGTTCATTGATTTTTCAAAAACAAGTCTCAAAGGAGTTTTACTTCATAGTGGAAATGAATATTCGTCAATTCCTTGACTCTGTTCATCTTAAGGAAACTTATGAAAATTTGCAGACACTTCTCGAGGAAGTTCATAATAAAGATCATGGTTGTTGGTTTGTGGAGAGTTCAAAGTCAAAGCTTTGCTGCTTGGTCAACAGAGTGGATACACGAAAATGCCATGTTTTTTGTGTGAGTGGGACAGCCGAGCAAGACGTGAACATTGGGACAAAAACACTGGCTACCTAGACAGGCTCTTATGCCAGGTTCCAAAAATATTCTACATGAACCATTGATTGACCCCAAGAAAGTGCTGCTGCCTCCTTTCGATATCAAATTAGGGTTAATGAACTAATTTGTAAATGCCCTAGATAAGGAAAGTGATTGTTTCAGGTACATATGCAAGGAATTTCCATGTCACATATGAAAATATCAAAGCTGTCATTTTCGTGGGCCCCCAAATCCGAAAGTTAATGTTGGATCACCAATTTGAAGAGTCGATAAACCAGTGTGAGAAAGAAGCATGGAATATTTTCAAGAATATTGTGTATATACTTTTAGGCAATATAAAAGATCTAAACTATCAAAACATTGTTGAAGTTATGTTGAATAACTTTACAAACATGGATTGCAATATGAGTGTAAAAGTGCATTTCTTACATTCCCATCTTGAGTATTTTCCTGAAAATTTACGTAGCTTATGTGAAGAGCAAGATGAAAGATTTCGCCAGGACATTAAGGAAATGGAAAAGAGGTATCAAGGAAGGTGGAATGTGAACATGGTGGCAGACTACTGCTGGATGCTGAAGAGAGATTGTGCCAGTGAAAAGAATCCCAGAAAATCGAGAAAAAAAGAAAGTTTCACCCATCCTAGAAGCCTAATATTATGTTCACACACATATTCATATACTGTATACCATTTATTTCTCTATTTGCAGACAAATAACCTTAATCACAATAAACTTTAGGTTTAGTTAACTTTAAAGCCCACTGAATTGTCTTATTTGTATTATCTTGTCATATTTGTATGTTGTATTTGTATAAGTATAAGTTATAATATCTTGTCTTATTGGTAATAAAGTGTGACGTGCTAGAGCAAAACAGTTTATTTTTTAAATCCCTGATAAAAACGAATCGGAATCACTCCTCAGTTTTAAAACATTCAACTTTTCTTAAAATGCAAACCGATGGAAAATCAATCATACACTTGGCCCATACATTATAAATAAGCACACCCACACCTTCCTTCCAGTCTGGTATATATGGGGTTCAAAATGCTCAAAATAGGGAGATCTAAATGTTTGTAACTTTCGGGCGCGCTATGTCCTAAAGTAAAATGTATATATACCTGAGGGTAACACTCGCAACATCCTGACCTTAAGGTAACACTCACTAAACTGTAATAATATAATATCATCCACACAACATCCTGACCTTAGGGTAACACTCCCTAAACTGTAATAAGATAATATGATCTAAGCAATACCAAACGTATAAGCACGTACGTGTCATAGGAAAATGCAAGTCCATCATCTAAGGCTAAGCAGAACTGACTTCAACTAAAACTGACTGGGGAGCAACGCCAACCGACCACTGTCCGCCGCTGTCCGAATGAGTCGTACGTCTGGCACTTCATTTTTACTTAACACTTCACTTTTAACTGCTATGCTGGTTCACGGGGAGACAAATGTGGCCTGCACTGTATTTTACCGCCTTTCACTCCTCTAACTACAGAATAAACCAATTTTACAGATGACTTACTGGCAAAATTTTCATTTCGTGTATATATATATATATATATATATATATATATATATATATATATATATATATATATATATATATATATATATATATATATATATATATATATATATATATATATATATATATATATATATAACCCCAATATTACCTTGTAATTCAATTGTGTAGGAACATTATAGAATCCAGTCTCATTAAACATACCAAATCTGTCAGCATGAATTTTAGTAATGGTATGTACAAACTGGATAATTTTGTGATTAAGAAGATTTGTAACCAGGTGAGAAGGTTGGGTCATCGTACCCTATGACCTGACTATGGACAGCTGCTGTGCTTAGAGATAGCATGGTCATTTTTTTTTATTATGAAAGATTATTAAGGGTCACTGCCTTATGACCGGAACATTGTGGACCCCTGCTGTCCCCTAGGGACTTGATCTCACTCTCCTCTACTGTATATATTTGCCTTCTCAAGTATTTCTCCTTGATTGTAACATTGATTGATTGAAACAATTTATTTAGCCAGAAAAATACAGATACAGAGTGGATAATAATAACAATATTAACATGGCTGAGTGAGTTGAGAACCTGAGCTCTCTTTGAGGCACCTGATATATACTTCCTAGACGCAGTATGCACAATTCTTGAAACAACTAATTACAGGTAAACCTACTAGAGGCATACATAATTCAGTATTAATAAACAGAAAAATATTATCAGAGATATCACAGTAGGGGAAGAA